TCCAAGACACTAATAAAATACTCATTTTGGAGTACAAAAATATCCATGTGCAATATTTCACAGGGATAAGAAGGAATCGGAGTTGCCTGAAGCTTAGGTATCGGCGGATTCCGATCATATTTGTTAGCCTTGCATATTTCACAATTCCTCGTATACCTTCCTACAAGACTGTTCATCCTCGGGAAATAGTATTTTTCCAAGAGCTGTAGTTTATTCTCGTCCTTATTCCTATGTGCCCTTCTGTGCTCCTCTTCTATCAAGGAACAGACCCTATTTGGACAAGTTACATCTTCTACAAGTCTCTGAGTGATCCGTAGCTTATAATGTGAAAAGTGTTCCAAATAAACCTCCTGTAATAGCCACAAATACTGTTCAGGAATTTTAATCCCATTTAAGACATCAGGTCTAAGTTTTTCCCTCAGGATTCGTGTAAGATTTTCCCTGCTAATTTCCTCCAAAGATATGATGTGTCGGTTTGTAGCCAGGATGAGGATTAATATGTGTAATCATATCTGATTGGAATTGTCGTATTATAATCTGATTACGAAAAACGTTAATAGGAGCTTCGACATGTGGAATCAAATCTGTGCCATCCTGTTCGGCACTGTGTACGGTTCCCTCGCTAGCTGTTATAGTAGCTGAGTCTCCGTTCCCTATCATACCCTCACTAGCTGTTATGGTATCTGAGTCCTCACTTCCTACCCTACCTTCACTTGCAGTGTCAGTGGAGGACTCATCCGCAAGATGGACACATAAATCTGTAGATGCAGTTCTCGAAGTCTGCTCAGCTTTCACTGAGTCGGTTGAGTCTGCTTTTAAGCGAGATAAGGCGTCGGCTACTACATTGGATTTCCCTGGTTTATATACAAGTTCGAAGTTATATTCCTCTATCCTAGCCTTCCACCTTTTCAATTTCGCATTATAATTCCTGTTACTCATGGCAAACGTCAGAGGTTGGTGATCGGTAAAAATGCGTATTTTCTTAGCTCCATACAGATAGGAGCGAAGATTGTCCAATGCCCAAACTATGGCGAGCATCTCTTTCTCGTTCGTGGCATATGCCTCTTCTGTTTTGTTCAAAGAGCGAGAAATAAAGGTTATTGGTTTGTCCTTTCCCATTTCCCCTTGAGACAGTACTGCACCTAAAGCACTGTTAGAAGCGTCTGTCGTAAGATTAAATGGTTTGTCAAAGTCCGGGAAGGCTAATACTTCCGACGACGTGAGCAACTCCTTAAGCTCGTTAAATGCTTGTAGCTCTTCCTCCCCGAGAATAATTCTAACTTTCTTCGATTGATTAGCCTTGACTTGTGCCATCTCGCCACGAGTGAGAGTGGTTAAAGGTTTAGCTACTTTGGCAAAGTCTTTAATGAACCTCCTATAATAGGATGTTAATCCAGAAAACTTTTGAGCTCTTTCAGGGTCTGGGGTGGTACAATGTCAAGGATTGCCCTCACCTTCTTCCTATCAGGCAGTATACCATCCTTAGTAACCACGTAACCAAGGAATTCGACCTCGGTTTTCATAAAAGCAGTTTTCTCTAAATTAACCCTAAGGTGAGCGTCTCTTAGACGCTGAAATACTTTCCTAAGGTTCCCCAGGTGTTCCTCAATATTACCCCCGTATACTATTATGTCGTCTATATAGACATAACATATTTTCCCTATACAACCTCGCAGGACGTCATCGACCATACGCTGAAATATAGCAGGCGCATTCCGTAGGCCGAACGGTAGCCTCAAAAACTCATACTTCCCATTCATTGTTGAAAAGGCTGTCTTTGGAATATCCCTTGGATTCATTGAAATCTGATGAAACCCCGAAGTGAGGTCAAGGGTTGTAAAATATTTCGCCTTGCCAAGGCTCGCCAAAGTTGAATTTATGTCGGGAATTGGATATGTGTCAGGTATGGTGACGGCATTCAGTCTTTTGAAATCCACCACCATCCGATATTGTTTCTCTCCATTTGGTTTAGGTTTCTTTGGGACCACCCAAATGGGAGAATTATAAGGACTTCTTGACGGCCGTATTACATTATTATTCAGAAGTTCTTCTATTTGTCTGTCTACTTCAGCACGCATACAAGCTGGATAAGGATAACTCTTTGAGTATATTGGCTCATCAGTGGTACACCGTATCTCTGCCCTAATAGATGTTGCTGCCAATTCGTTATTTATTGGTCCAAATATGTCACTAAACTCGGCTATTAGGTCACTCAATGTAGTGCATGATGGAAGTACGTTAATTTCGTTCAATGTCTGAATTCTAAGTGGTATACTGATCCCTGGCGAGATTGTCAGTGTATTATTTTTGTGGTCTATTATAGCTTGAAGCTCACGTAGAGTATCGTCGCCGATTATACCATTGAAAGATGTGAATCCCGGTAGTACATAGAATGTAATTGTCGTATCGTTACCAAATGGGGCAAAGAATTTCCCCTTTACCTTCTCACTAATTTGTATTCTCCCTGAGGCAGTACGAACATAAAATGGCTTATCTAATTTCTTTGAACTGGGGCATAAGGCTGGCTCAACAAAGTTTTTTGTAGCCCCTGTGTCTATTAAAAATTTTATTATTGAGCCATCCTTTAATTCATTGCTTACGTATGGTAAGCCGGAAAGGCACGAGTCCGAAAATTTATTTCGTCGTCGGCCGGTACGCCCTCATTGTCCTCTTGTGTCATGTTAAAAATTCTCTGTTGTTTTAAACGGGTGTTGTGCCGACCCGGGACGAACCTGTTCCGAAAAGGCCCGCCTTTTGTGGTTATTCCATGGTCGGTTTCCGGTCCCCCTAGATTGCGTACTCTGATCTATGTCCATTGGTTCTGGTCTGTGGGGAGCAGGCTGTTGCGCAACACGCCGTGGCTCAAATTGTCGGTTAACAAAAGGGTTCGCTTGAGGTTGATACCGGTTTTTCGGTACAAATTTTTGGAAGGAAGCTTGGTTTCGAGTCTTACTTGGGTGGTGATTCGGAAAGTTATTAAATCCCATTGGAACCTGGACCCTATTCTGACCATTAACCGAATGTAGGGAGACCTGACTCCTGTAATTGGCATTTCTCAATTCCAAACATTGCGAATATGCCTCGGGAAGTGTCTTTGGCTTCATGAGCATTATCATCTTTGATAGCTCGCCATTAAGACCCCTTATGAAAACTTCCAGTGTCCTATTCCTATAAGTCTCTATTAAAACGTTCGTCGTTTCTTCAGAATAAGTTTCCGTCTTCAATTTGTTTATGATCAAGGAGAACTGGTGATTTACTGTAGCGTAGAACTCGTCTACGCTCATACTCTTCTGAGCTAGTTGGGTCAACTGATGTTCTAGTGTGCGAACATCTCTTTTGTCTGCATAATGCAGAGAAAGACAGTTCTTTATCGATGCCCAGTCTTCATCGAATATGTTGTAGGAGGTAAGGGCGGCATCAGCCTTTCCCCTACATTTTCGGCGTATAGCCTGAACAATAGCCCTATATATCGGCTTCTGCCGGACGATCTCATAGTCCTTCAGGATACTCTCCACACTATGTATCCAGGATACATACTGCGTGGGGTCACCCTCAAAAGACTGCAAGTCCCTTACACAGTCGGGAAGTTTCCCTATTTCGTTCAATTCGGTTTCTGTGGTTGGAGCACGCAGGGGGGGAGGAGGACTTTCGCCCTCAACAACCGGAGGATTACTGGGCCTACGTTCCAAATTCAGCGTTCTCTGATCCAGAGTTTTTAGCTGGTTTAGAACGGCGTTTAGGGCGCCAGTTAACTCTGTTACCTTATTTTGCAAATGTTCCATACTTACATACACATATACATATACATAAGAATTTGCAGGTTCTTCCCTCTATATTTTGCAGGTTCTTCCCTCTATATTTTTACAGTCACCCTTACAGGATATGCCTTCCAATAATTCTCCCTCTTCTCTTCAAATTAATTCACTGGTAGTCACAGGATCACTGTTCTTTTTTTTCTTTAGGTGGATCCTCTTTTCCAAAAAAAAAAAAAAAATTTAAATTTCACTGTTTCTTTTTTATTTTTTCCAGTTTTTAGTTTCTGGAGGGTCCCGTAGGAATCGCAAAAACTTATTTAATTTCACAATTTCGGGGTCGAAATTTCACTTAATTGTCACTGTTCTTTCTTTAGGTGGATCCTTTCCACAAAACAAATTTTAAGGTTCACTATTTCTTTTTTATCTTTTCCAGTTTTTATTATTTAGTTTCTGGAGGGTCCCGTGGGAATCGCAGAAACTTATTTAATTTATTAATTTTATATATTTAATTTTTTATTTAATTTTATAAGGACTCCGCTTTCTCTTGGCGGGTCCCTGCTCGGGCGCCAGTTAACTTCCTTTGTTATGTGAAATTAAAAAAAATGATTTTTAAGTGGACACCGACTTGTCCACTATAAATGAAACACGTTAATTTTGGGTTTACAATTTTATTCAACGACCGCTTTGGTCAACCTCCCAAGTAAGACTAACTCTAACAATATTTTTTAAATACTTAAATCTAAATAATTCTGCTGATCCAACTTATTCCATTCCCACGTTGTGAAATCTTCCAGACGAAATATGATCCTGCATACTAGCTTGCGCGTGTGCACCGTCAGCACAACCTTGTGTAGATTTTTCCCGCTCATGTATACTTGATTGTGTTAACTTGTATGTTATTGTTGTTGTATTTATTAATATGACACTGTATGTCATATTGTTTTTATTTCGTTATTGCCAAAATTTGCGGTAGTCAGGGATGGAAGATTGCATATGATGTAAAATTGAAATAAAAAAATAATATATATTATTTTCTTTTAAAATAATATATATTATTTTCTTTTAATTTTTGTTCTATTTCACTCTAGACTGCCGTCGACTGTAGTATTCAAGGTATTGAAAGAAAAAGTTGAAACAAGGAAATATTTTTTATTACAACAATATATTTTTTCCTTATAAAATATATTTAGGAACTGTAATTATTTCTTTGAAAACTCCGATTACGAAGATTTTTTTGTAAAATATTTAGGAACTATATTTATTTGTCAAATAATATTGTCGTGTCCAAAGCTGCATTGCATTATTCTTCTTGCTCATACTATTTCGATAAATAGACCCATGACTATTTCTAGAACTCTCCACAGCCATTATACGTTTATGAAAACCCCGATTACGACGTTTAAGGGGAATTTTATTAAATTGTAAACCATTAATATCTTGATTACTAATATCATGCAATTTTGCTCTCGATCTTAATTTCTTAAATACAAAAGCGGGAAATTGAATCAAAATAAAATACAACAATTCCATGCCACTGATTAGGGAACAGCCGAGAAATAAACCTACAATGCCACCAAAAGCCACTACAAATAAACAATTCGTTAAACTTAAAAATAACATTCAATAGTTTCTTATAAATTACCCACTAAGTCCAACCAACCAAATACCAAACTGGTGCGAAATACAAACATTGTTTCGATACGATAATGTACATCTAAATCCACATACATTCTACTACGTTGTGGTTGTTCGGGAAAAAATGATGGTCTAACATCCGCCACATAATTGAGTGAATAACAGTTGCGCACACAATTACAAACCATTCCCTTGTAATTACTGTGTATAAAGTCCTCTTCCCCGAATTGATGAGTAAATTTAAAGTAAACTAGAAATATCAAATAACATAAAAATATGTTTATAACTTTATCAGTGTCGACTGCAATCCTTACCATCATTTTTGCCTAAACATAATAAATCTGTAGCTTTGCAGGGATTATATTCAGCTGTTGAAAAAGATAAAAATATTTCAACAAGGGAAGCTTTTTTTGGATATATTTACCTGGTGGAAACAATATATCTATCGTACAGTTACAGTATCTCATTAGATATTCTTCGTAACATAGAGTGAAGCAATTTTCCAACATATAAGGAAATCCAGGTAGGGATGTGGATGCATAAAGGCTGGTTTCATCCTAAAATATGTGGAAAAAATAGGACTAAAACTGAGAACTGAGCTAGAACTAAACTAGAACTGAACCAGAACTGAACTAGAAGTGAACTAGAACTGAACTAGAAATGAACTAGAAATGAACTAGAACTGAACTAGAACTGAACTAGAACTGAACTAGAACTGAACTAGAACTGAACTAGAACTGAACTAGAACTGAACTAGAACTGAACTAGAACTGAACTAGAACTGTACTAGAACTGAACTAGAACTGAACTAGAACTGAACTAGAACTGAACTAGAACTGAACTAGAACTGAACTAGAACTGAACTAGAACTGAACTAGAACTGAACTAGAACTGAACTAGAACTGAACTAGAACTGAACTAGAACTGAACTAGAACTGAACTAGAACTGAACTAGAACTGAACTAGAATTGAACTAGAACTGAACTAGAACTGAACTAGAACTGAACTAGAACTGAACTAGAACTGAACTAGAACTGAACTAGAACTGAACTAGAACTGAACTAGAACTAGAACTGAACTAGAACTGAACTAGAACTGAACTAGAACTAGAACTGAACTAGAACTGAACTAGAACTGAACTAGAACTGAACTAGAACTGAACTAGAACTGAACTAGAACTGAACTAGAACTGAACTAGAACTGAACTAGAACTGAACTAGAACTGAACTAGAACTGAACTAGAACTGAACTAGAACTGAACTAGAACTGAACTAGAACTGAACTAGAACTGAACTAGAACTGAACTAGAACTGAACTAGAACTGAACTAGAACTGAACTAGAACTGAACTAGAACTGAACTAGAACTGAACTAGCACTGAACTAGAACTGAACTAGAACTGAACTAGAACTGAACTAGAACTGAACTAGAACTGAACTAGAACTGAACTAGAACTGAACTAGAACTGAACTAGAACTGAACTAGAACTGAACTAGAACTGAACTAGAACTGAACTAGAACTGAACTAGAACTGAATAGAACTAGAACTGAACTAGAACTGAACTAGAACTGAACTAGAACTGAACTAGAACTGAACTAGAACTGAACTAGAACTGAACTAGAACTGAACTAGAACTGAACTAGAACTGAACTAGAACTGAACTAGAACTGAACTAGAACTGAACTAGAACTAAACTAGAACTGAACCAGAAACTGAACTAGAAGTGAACTAGAACTGAACTAGAAATGAACTAGAACTGAACTAGAACTGAACTAGAACTGAACTAGAACTGAACTAGAACTGAACTAGAACTGAACTAGAACTGAACTAGAACTGAACTAGAACTGAACTAGAACTGAACTAGAACTGAACTAGAACTGAACTAGAACTGAACTAGAACTGAACTAGAACTGAACTAGAACTGAACTAGAACTGAACTAGAACTGAACTAGAACTGAACTAGAACTGAACTAGAACTGAACTAGAACTGAACTAGAACTGAACTAGAACTGAACTAGAACTGACTAGAACTGAACTAGAACTGAACTAGAACTGAACTAGAACTGAACTAGAACTGAACTAGAACTGAACTAGAACTGAACTAGAACTGAACTAGAACTGAACTAGAACTGAACTAGAACTGAACTAGAACTGAACTAGAAGTGAACTAAACTAAAATATTACTTACATTGAATATACACTTTCTCCTAGCAGACGATAAAGCTTTTGTTCCATTATCGTAAAAGTAAGCTACTGGCTCCACTTCTACTGCTGTTTCGGATTGGCAGGCACAAAAAATGGATCTCGGTGAAAAACTCCCGGTTCAAGTACAGCCACCTATGTAGGCAAATGCTAACAATATTTAAATTCTTTTTAAACGAACACCACATATCTCACCGTAATACCCTTTCATTATCCTGATGATAATGTTTATCCTCATTCAACCACAACCGTACAGTTAAACCACTCTTCGGCCCGGCACTGCCCGTTCTCCAGGGATATTTATCATCCAGTAGTTGTTTGCGTCTACTCTCATCGGAAGACAGTGTATTAAAATGCCAACATAAACCTTCTTGTCCTCTAATTCTCTGAAAAATTTCACAGCAATCAACTTTAAAATGACGCCAAGTACAGTTCGCTAAAAACTCCTCGCAACGCCAGGTCATAAACTCGAATACTGCACTGAAATTGATGTGATTCACCAGTTCCACAGGTTCACCTTCAAGTGCCGAAAATGGATAAAATTCTCCGAAGCTTACATTATCATAGAGACTAATGACGGTTTCAAACATGCGAATTTTCTCGGTATCATTTTCATGGGGTAAAAATAGATGTTTGGCCTCTTCTATACGTTCCCAATTTAAATGATTTGCATTGCATATACTAATTTCGGGGAATGGTAGAATGTATACGGGAGCATTGGTACTGTTCACTACAGTTTTAAAGGTTCCAGCATTAAAACGTTGCGATAGAATCATGCAGATATATATGGAGCCAAGTAGGGCGTAAATGACAGTTATGAGCCAAAAGATTCTGCAATCGAAATTTTAGATAAAAATATAAAATCGGTATTTCAAAACTCACCTTTCATATTTGTTGGAGTTCTCTTTAAATATCCTATTTAGACCATGTATTGTCGATTTTCTGCCAAATTCAATTATCAATTGTTCTACGGAATCTTTGAAATTTGAAGAAAAACTTATTTTTAAGTTTTTTGTTTTATGATCCAAATCATATCGTTGATTAAGTTGCCTTAAATGTAACGGTTGCGCTGGTTTGTAGCTGGAAGAAGCCATGATGACCGGAAGTGAATAAGTGTTTCTTTAAACTAAGGTCTAATGAGTGTTAAGAATTTATTATAAATTAAGAACATAAATAATTTACATGTTAAGGTTTGTTTAAGATATCGTTAATGTTGGGAAAATATTTATACAAACTAATTAGTGTAATTAATCATTAGCATTAATGTTAATTCTCGAGCTAGCACTGAAGAAAATGCATTATTAAGGGAAAGTTTTGTTTTAATAATATGGGTGGACACAATGCATGCAAATCTCTAGGGTTTTTTAAAAGAAAAACGGTCAGGGCTGAACCATGAAATCTTAGGAATGTTCATTTTTTGTATAGACACACGTGCGACTAAAATATCTGCACTATAATTAACTTTAATTCAGAAACATTTAAAACAAAAAGTGTCTGTTTCGTATCTGGTTAAGTCGACTGTAGAGAAAACTTCTAGCAAAAATCGTTTTAGTTGTTCGTAGTTAAAGTCTAGTCGTAGTTAAGTTGTTCGTAGTTAAAGTCTAGTCTATAGTCTAGTCTACAGTCTAGTCTAGTAGTCTAGCCTAGTCTATAGCCTAGTCTATAAGTCTAGTCTATAGTCTAGTCTATAGTCTAGTCATAGTAGTCTAGTCTAGTCTATAGTCTAGTCTATAGTCTAGTCTATAGTCTAGTCTATAGTCTAGTCTATAGTCTAGTCTATAGTCTAGTCTAGTCTATAGTCTAGTCTATAGTCTAGTCTATATCTTAGTCTATAGTCTAGTCTATAGTCAGTTCTATAGTCTAGTCTATAGTCTAGTCTATAGTTTAGTCTATAGTCTAGTCTATAGTCTAGTCTATAGTCTAGTCTATAGTCTAGTTGTTCGTAGTTAAAGTCTAGTCTATAGTCTAGTCTACAGTCTAGTCTATAGTCTAGCCTATAGCCTAGTCTATAATCTAGTCTATAGTCTAGTCTATAGTCTAGTCTATAGTCTAGTCTATAGTCTAGTCTATAGTCTAGTCTATAGTCTAGTCTATAGTCTAGTCTATAGTCTAGTCTATAGTCTAGTCATAGTTAGTCTATAGTCTAGTCTATAGTCTAGTCTATAGTCTAGTCTATAGTCTAGTCTATAGTCTAGTCTATAGTCTAGTCTATAGTCTAGTCTATAGTCTAGTCTATAGTTAGTCTATAGTCTAGTCTATAGTCTAGTCTATAGTCTAGTCGTAGTAAGTCTAGTCTAGTCGTAGTTACAGTCTAGTCTATAGTCTAGTCTACAGTCTAGTCTATAAGTCTAGTCTATAGTCTAGTCTATAGTCTAGTCTATAGTCTAGTCTATAGTCTAGTCTATAGTTCTAGTCTATAGTCTAGTCTATAGTCTAGTCTATAGTCTAGTCTATAGTCTAGTCTATAGTCTAGTCTATAGTCTAGTCTAAGTTAAGTCTATAGTCTAGTCTATAGTCAGTCTATAGTCTAGTCTATAGTCTAGTTGTTCGTAGTTAAAGTCTATAGTCTAGTCTAGCTAGTCTAAGTCTAGTCTATAGTCTAGTTCATAAGCCTAGTCTATAATCTAGTCTATGTCTAGTCTCTAGTCTAGGTCTATAGTCTAGTCTATAGTCTAGTCTATAGTCTAGTCTATAGTCTAGTCTATGTCTAGTCTATAGTCTAGTCTATAGTCTAGTCTATAGTCTAGTCTATAGTCTAGTCTATAGTCTAGTCTATAGTCTAGTCTATAGTCTAGTCTATAGTTTAGTCTATGCCTAGTCTAGTAGTTCGTAGTCTAAGTCTCGTCTAGCTAGTTGTTCGTAGTCTAACGTCTAGCTTCTAGCTAGTCTCAGGTAGTCTATAGCTCTAGTCTCTATATCCTAGTCTATAATCTAGTCTATAGTCTAGTCTATAGTCTAGTCTATAGTCTAGGTCTATAGTCTAGTCTATAGTTTCAGTCTATCGTCTAGTCTATAGTCTAGTCTATAGTCTAGTCTATAGTCTTATGTCTAGTCTCGTAGTCTAAGTCTAGTTGTCTACTAGTTCTAGGTCTCTAGTCAGTCTATAGTCCTAGTATATAAGTCTAGTCTCTAGTTCTAGTCTATAGTCTAGTCTATAGTCTAGTCTATAGTCTAGTCTATAGTCTAGTCTATAGTCTAGTCTATAGTCTAGTTCATAGTCAGTCTATAGTCTAGTCTAAGTCTAGTCTATAGTATAGTCTATAGGTCTCTAGTGTCTATAGTCTAGTCTATAGTCTAGTCTATAGTCTAGTCTATAGTCTCGTCTATAGTCTAGTCTATAGTCTAGTCTAGTCTATAGTCTAGTCTATAGTCTAGTCTATAGTCTAGTCTATAGTCTAGTCTATAGTTTAGTCTATAGTCTAGTCTATAGTCTAGTCTATAGTCTAGTCTATAGTCTAGTTGTTCGTAGTTAAAGTCTAGTCTATAGTCTAGTCTACAGTCTAGTCTATAGTCTAGTCTATAGCCTAGTCTATAATCTAGTCTATAGTCTAGTCTATAGTCTAGTCTATAGTCTAGTCTATAGTCTAGTCTATAGTCTAGTCTATAGTCTAGTCTATAGTCTAGTCTATAGTCTAGTCTATAGTCTAGTCTATAGTCTAGTCTATAGTCTAGTCTATAGTCTAGTCTATAGTCTAGTCTATAGTCTAGTCTATAGTCTAGTCTATAGTCTAGTCTATAGTCTAGTCTATAGTCTAGTCTATAGTCTAGTCTATAGTCTAGTCTATAGTCTAGTCTATAGTCTAGTCTATAGTCTAGTCTATAGTCTAGTCTATAGTCTAGTCTATAGTCTAGTCTATAGTCTAGTCTATAGTCTAGTCTATAGTCTAGTCTATAGTCTAGTCTATAGTCTAGTCTATAGTCTAGTCTATAGTCTAGTCTATAGTCTAGTCTATAGTCTAGTCTATAGTCTAGTCTATAGTCTAGTCTATAGTCTAGTCTATAGTCTAGTCTATAGTCTAGTCTATAGTCTAGTCTATAGTCTAGTCTATAGTCTAGTCTATAGTCTAGTCTATAGTCTAGTCTATAGTCTAGTCTATAGTCTAGTCTATAGTCTAGTCTATAGTCTAGTCTATAGTCTAGTCTATAGTCTAGTCTATAGTCTAGTCTATAGTCTAGTCTATAGTCTAGTCTATAGTCTAGTCTATAGTCTAGTCTATAGTCTAGTCTATAGTCTAGTCTATAGTCTAGTCTATAGTCTAGTCTATAGTCTAGTCTATAGTCTAGTCTATAGTCTAGTCTATAGTCTAGTCTATAGTCTAGTCTATAGTCTAGTCTATAGTCTAGTCTATAGTCTAGTCTATAGTCTAGTCTATAGTCTAGTCTATAGTCTAGTCTATAGTCTAGTCTATAGTCTAGTCTATAGTCTAGTCTATAGTCTAGTCTATAGTCTAGTCTATAGTCTAGTCTATAGTCTAGTCTATAGTCTAGTCTATAGTCTAGTCTATAGTCTAGTCTATAGTCTAGTCTATAGTCTAGTCTATAGTCTAGTCTATAGTCTAGTCTATAGTCTAGTCTATAGTCTAGTCTATAGTCTAGTCTATAGTCTAGTCTATAGTCTAGTCTATAGTCTAGTCTATAGTCTAGTCTATAGTCTAGTCTATAGTCTAGTCTATAGTCTAGTCTATAGTCTAGTCTATAGTCTAGTCTATAGTCTAGTCTATAGTCTAGTCTATAGTCTAGTCTATAGTCTAGTCTATAGTCTAGTCTATAGTCTAGTCTATAGTCTAGTCTATAGTCTAGTCTATAGTCTAGTCTATAGTCTAGTCTATAGTCTAGTCTATAGTCTAGTCTATAGTCTAGTCTATAGTCTAGTCTATAGTCTAGTCTATAGTCTAGTCTATAGTCTAGTCTAGTCTAGGCTAGTCTATAGTCTAGTCTATAGTCTAGTCTATAGTCTAGTCTATAGTCTAGTCTATAGTCTAGTCTATAGTCTAGTCTATAGTCTAGTCTATAGTCTAGTCTATAGTCTAGTCTATAGTCTAGTCTATAGTCTAGTCTATAGTCTAGTCTATAGTCTAGTCTATAGTCTAGTCTATAGTCTAGTCTATAGTCTAGTCTATAGTCTAGTCTCTATAGTCTAGTATATAGTCTAGTCTATAGTCTAGTCTATAGTCTAGTCTATAGTCTAGTCTATAGTCTAGTCTATAGTCTAGTCTATAGTCTAGTCTATAGTCTAGTCTATAGTCTAGTCTATAGTCTAGTCTATAGTCTAGTCTATAGTCTAGTCTATAGTCTAATCTATAGTCTAGTCTATAGTCTAGTCTATAGTCTAGTCTATAGTCTAGTGTATAGTCTAGTCTATAGTCTAGTCTATAGTCTGGTCTAGTCTATAGTATAGTCTATAGTCTAGTCTATAGTCTAGTCTATAGTCTCGTCTATAGTCTAGTCTATAGTCTCGTCTATAGTCTCGTCTATAGTCTAGTCTATAGTCTAGTCTATAGCCTATTCTATAGTCTAGTCTATAGTCTAGACTATATTCCAGTCTATATTCTAGTCTATAGTCTAGTCTATAGTCTAGTCTATAGTCTAGTCTGTAGTCTAGTCTATAGTATAGTCTATAGTCTAGTCTATAGTCTAGTCTATGGTCTAGTCTATAGTCTAGTCTATAGTCTAGTCTATAGTCTAGTCTATAGTCTAGTCTATAGTCTAGTCTATAGTCTAGTCTAGGTCTAGTCTAGTCTAGTCTAGTCTAGTCTATATCTATATAGAGTCTAGTCTATAGTCAGCTATCTAGTAACTAGCCTTATTCAGCTTTGTTTTCGCGTGTTATTGTGCCAAGTCCATTTTCTACTTTTTTTTGCCCAACCTAAGGATTTACTGAAATATAAAACATGTTGTTATTGTAGGGTACCAACAAACCATTTGTTTGTTGACAACAATTAAACATGTTCGATACACAATTAACAAATGATTGACAATAAAACTTTAATAATAAACCTTAGTAAAACTTGTTGAATAATATGCAAACATCTGTGGTTAATATTTCTGAAAATGTGTTAAAAAGTTTATATAAAATTTATTAACAATTTATTTC